CTATCAGTCGAGTTGTTGCTGATCTTCCAGTAAGTTTGTAAAAAAATTTACAATTTTTTATTTCTTCTTCAAGTTAATTTATTATTGATTTGTAATAATAATAATATTAATAATAATAATATGATTGGTGCAGGAGGGTCCTCAGACACTTGTGGGAATTGCTACATTTGACTCAACCATTCATTTTTATAATCTGAAACGCGCTTTGCAACAGGTTTTTTTTTTTTTTTAAGTTTTAAACTTTCAAAGTGAATTATTTCTTCAAATTGTTTTTTCATTTTTTTTATTGCAGCCATTGATGTTCTTAGTTCCAGACATATATGATGTTTACACTCCTCTCCCTTCAGATGTTGTTGTTCAACTTTCTGAGGTGATAAAATTTTCTTATTTTTGATTATTTTTTTTATTCAAGAACTTATAAATAATTTTTTAAGTGTAATTAATTATATGATCACAGTGTCGTCAGCATCTAGATTTGTTGCTGGAAAGCATCCCAACTATGTTTCAGAATAATAAAACAGCTGATTCAGCTTTTGGTGCTGGAATGAAGGTAATAATTAAAAGTATATAAATATATTAAAAAAATTAATCAGTTTATTTTATTATTTATACCATAAGTTTAAGGTTTTTACTTTACCATTGCGTCTGTTTCACTCAGGGTGCTTTTTTAGCAATGAAGAATACTGGAGGAAAACTTTTGGTATTTCAATCAGGTAAGTTTGTGTGAACTTTATTTTATCTTAAATCTTAATAACTAATTTATTATTTATAGTTTTATATTAATAATTATTCTATTATTGTATTTTGTTATAGTCTTGCCTTCTGCTGGAATTGGGGCTCTTTCTGCTAGAGAAGCAGAAGGAAGAAGTAATATATCTTCAGGAGAAAAGGTATTTCTAATTTTCTATATTAAACAAAATCACATTATTTTATTGCTTTATATTTGTAATAATAATATCTATTTTTTTTTTTTTTAATTTCAGGAACCTCATAAATTACTTCAACCAGTAGACAAGACTTTAAAGACAATGGCTATTGAATTTGCAGAGTACCAGGTTAAATGTTATCAAATTGTTGTATGTGAATGTTCTTTTTACATAAATGATTTAAATATTTTAAAAAATATATTTTCAGGTTTCTGTTGATGTATTTATAACAACACAAAGTTATGTGGACATTGCTTCAGTTTCCGTTGTTCCAAGGACAACTGGAGGGCAGGTAATATCATTTTGTTTTTTTATTTAAATAAATAATTTTCAGCAGTTGACTTGTTGACTTTTTTTTTCAGGTGTATTATTATCACCCTTTTTCTGCTCTCTCTGATCCTGCAAAACTTTATAATGATCTTCGATGGAATGTCACAAGACCTCAAGGTTTTGAAGCAGTAATGCGTGTCAGATGCAGCCAGGTCAGCTTCTAGAAAATTAAATTTTATAAATTTATTTTACATTTATATTTAAAATTCTTAAATTCTGTAGGGTGTTCAAGTAGAAGAATACTTTGGTAACTTCTGCAAACGCATTCCTACAGACATTGATCTGCCTGCGGTTTGTCCCTCTTCTCTTGAGTGAATTTACAAAAATAGTCCCTGTGCTTTCTCATTTTTACCATGTTTAGTCCAAAATTGAAATCTTTCTTTTAAAGTTGATATGAAACCTTGAAATAAGGACCAAAATTTCAGTTTGGGACTAAACATGGTGAAAATCAGAAAGTAGAGGGACCATTTTTGTAAATTACTCTCTGTTTGTATTGTGGTTTTTGCAGATTGATTGTGACAAAACGATAATGGTAACCTTAAAACACGATGATAAATTGCAAGATGGCACAGAATGTGCTTTTCAGGTACTTTTTTATTTTTCAAAGTGATTTTTATTTTTTAAAATGTGATTTGTTGCTTTATAAAATATAAATGATATTGTGTTTATTTTTTTACAGTGTGCACTTTTATATACAAGTGTATATGGGCAACGAAGAATACGTGTCTCCACCTTATCCTTACCATGTACAACCATGCTCAGTAATCTTTTCCGCTCTGCTGACCTGGACACCCAATTTTCATGTTTTTTAAAACAAGGTACTTTCTTATTGAGTAAATTACATTTTTCGTCCTTATTTTTGTAATTTTGGTCCCTAAAAAGGGGACTAAATACATTAAGGATGAAAAGCAACTAATTAATTTTCATCGAAAACACAAAAAATAAAATATTAATATTTAATTTATATTTATATTTTTCAGCTGCAATTGAAATCCCTTCAAGCCCATTAGTGCAAGTAAGGGAGCAAGTGACAAATCTTTGCATCAACATTCTTCATTCTTATCGCAAATTTTGTGCCACCGTGTCATCATCAGGACAGCTCATACTTCCAGAAGCACTCAAGCTTTTGCCTCTATACACTCTCGGTAGGTATATCTTTCATCTTTCTTGCTGAGTCAGCATATGGATATGCCACGTGGCAATGGCGTCCTCTAATCTTTATCCTTTTTTTTTTTTTTTAGCTTTGATTAAAAGTATTGGGTTGCGAAGTGATGGGCGTATAGATGAGAGATCGTTTTGGATTAATTATGTTCTTCCTTTATCTACTCAATTGGCAATCCCTCTTGTGTACCCAAGGATGATAAGCATCCATGACCTCAATTCAAAGGTATATTAATAGAGTAGATTATATTTTTTTGAGACCAAAATTGTATAAATCGGCTATACTCAAGGACCAGAAATGTAATTTTGTCAAGATCTTATGGAAAGAGATGCGATGGATCAATTACATGTGTTTGATTTTTAATTTTAATTTTATGGGGGTTACAGGAAACAGATGGATCTGTGATTCCTCATGCTATTCCCCTGTGTAGTGAACATGTGAGTGATGATGGAATCTATCTTCTTGAAAATGGTGAAGATTGTTTAGTTTATATTGGAAACTCTGTAGATCCTGATATAATTCGCAAACTCTTTGGCGTTTCTTCGCTTGATGAAATTCCTACCCAGGTACGCTTCCCTTTTTTTTTTTATCAAAAAAAAATTAAATAATAAAGAGCAATATAGTCGTTTTATTTGATTGTAATTAAGTGAGGAAAGGTTCCATCTAACTTGTTTCATTTTTATATTCAGTTTGTGTTACAACAGTATGGTAATCCTTTGTCAAAGAAGCTAAATGAGGTTATAAATGAAATAAGAAGCCAAAGATGTAACTACCTTCGGTACGTGTTATGTGACTTTTGTCCCAATTAAAATTAATTTATATTCCTAAAATTATTTTTCTTTCTTGCAGCATGAAATTATGCAAGAAAGGAGATCAATCAGGTAACATTTTCATCATTTTACAAAGCCCGCCGGGTAACATTTTTTTAAAAACCATTTAAATTTAATCTAAGTTTTTTTATATAATTTCAGGAATGTTGTTCTTTTCGTATATGGTGGAAGACAAGTCTCCAAATGGTCTCTCATATGTTGAGTTTCTTGTGCATGTTCATCGACAAATTCAAAGCAAAATGAATTGATGCTATTTATGGATTCACATTCGATTATATTTATAACTTCAAAAAAAAAAAAAAAAAAAAAAAAAAAAAAGAGTAAGAGCAAAATTTTGAAATCTTATAGGGTTTTTGGTTTATGTTTATAGCTTAAATTTTCAAAGTTTTCTTTTTGTTTGAATTTGTAGTGAATTATAAATAAATAAATATATGAAATTTGGTTAGATTTGTTTTGTGCTATGTGTCTCGCTTTGTGGTGTACGTATAGAGATAGATTCGTTTCAAACTAGTGGTGATGGCCCTACGATATAATTGTATCCAACATTTTGATAAGGGAGCTGATACTGCCACGGTTAGTTTTGATTCATCCACATACTTTTAAAGACAATGGACAATTATGCCCTTCTAAAGCAATTCTTTTGTAATAAATAAAAAGCATAAATTAACCCACCGCTTTCTTCTTTCTTTCCTTTTCTTCATATACGTCTTTTGCACCACCAAATGAATCGTTGTTAGGAATCCATTGTTTCATATGAGTACTCAATAAGCTTTGCTGAATCGATAGAACATTGCATTTAACTGACTATTTGATGAGGGGCCAAAGACCTGGAATGGAGATGACGAATAGACCCTAGAAGGTGTAATAACTGGCAGTAGAAAAGTCCAGGGTTGTGAACGACATCGGCGTGGGGTGCACACACAGGTGCCATTTTCTCACTCTAGAGAAATAGTCGTCTCTGATCGATTCCATGTTCATCCAAAAGTCCCTCCCACCATTGTCCCCGTCGTCTTCAAAAAACCCTTCTACCCCGTCGTCATCTGAGAAGATGAAAAATCAAAGAACTCTTGAACCAATCAAATCTTCAACTCTTTTGCATCAAATCTTGAAAACGTAGAACCCCATGGACCAACAAATCGGATTTTGAAAGTAGTTTTGATTTTGGTAATTACAAGTAGTTTTTTTGAAGACGACATTGTCGATTTTGCTGGTGATCTTAAATTGGTTTTGCAGTTGATTTTCGTACTTACAGGCGAGGCGGGTTTCTTGAAATGGTTGTCGATTTTCACAGGTGACGGAGAGGGAGCGGTTTCCGGCGAGGGTGTGGTGGGTTTCTTGAAATTGTTGTCGATTTTCACAGGTGGCGGAGAGGGAGTGGTTTCCGGTGAGGGTGTGGGTGTGGAAGAAAGGTGAGCGTGAGTTTATTTGGGGGAGATAAGCCTAAAGGGTGGGTTAATTTACTTTTTTTATTTGTTACAAAAGAATTAAGCAGAAGGGTATAATTGTAAATTGACTTAAAAATTATGTGGATGAATAAAAAGTAACAGTGGAACTATCAGCGCCCTTTTGATATGATAAATGTTATGTTTATAATGAAATAACATTTAAAAAAGAGTTAATATCACGTTTAGCTAATTAACTATTTGGTTCGACCATATTTGGTCCCTAATTAGTTTTTTGTGTACTATACTTTCAAATTCCATGTAAAATAAGCCATTTTCCGATCTATAAAAAGCCCGTTAAAGACATAGTCAATAGTCATTCATAACCATATGCGATCTTACATAAATAAAATTCACCCAAAAATAAGAAAGATAAATCCCCCTGCTACTACTTACTTTCCTTCTTCATAGGTTTCAACATAACATAAACAAACATCCAGAAAAATCTAAGCTTAAGTCAACCAAAGTCAAACAAAACAGTCATCTTGTATCCTATGATGATGCCCTTGGACCACAACTAGCAACATGAGCCTTAAAAGCCTCTAACTCGCTCAACACTTCATCCCTTGGTCTGTATATCAAATCACTCATGCGCCATATCTATAATAAACACCAACTTTTTATTTCTCTTCTTCAAAATATTCAATATTAAATAAATAAAATATATATCAAGTACCTGAAGGGTCCCACCACCACTTGAGCATTCAACATCATCCGATACACTCACAACAGTCCATGGATCATATGCATTCCAATGAAAGTCCACCACTTTGTCCCTGAATTATATATAATAATATTAGTTTTTGTAATCATATTTATGTAACATGTTTTAATTATTTATAATTCTAGTAATTACAAAAAACATGAAACCTGTGTCCGCAGTGTTTAAAGAACAACCCTTGAGCATAGTTTGCAGATCTTGTCCCACGTTCTATCTTTTGTCCAACCTTCAACAATCATAATATAATGCATAATATATACAAAGTCAACATATACCAAAACAAATAAATAAAAATAGAAAAATATTTTTAACTTTTTTTTACCTGTTCATAATCCCAAATATTAACACAACCATCCTCTGCTGAACTCCCAAACACAGAAGGCTTGTCTGGACACCACTACAAAACATACAAAGACTTCTAAATATAAATAAAAAACAAAGGGCAAAAAAGTAAATTTGCAATTGAATACCTGAACACAAAGAACAGGAGCTTTGTGTTCTTCAAATTTATGAACAGGAGATCCAACTCCATCAGAAACCAAATTCCTCCGGTCAAACATACAAACAGAATGGTCAGCTGACCTGAAAAAATTACACAATTAGGGTTTAGTGTTTTTAGGGTTGTTAGGGTATTTAGGGTTTTAGGGTATTTAGGATTTTTTAGGGTTTTAGGGTTTACCCTGTTAGAATATAGTTTGCATCATGAGGACTCCAATCAACGCAATGAACATCAGCATTATGTGCTTTTTCAACCTATTTTAAAGAAATTATAAATTTAAAAATAAAAAATGTAATAAGAATTCACAAATTAAAACAAACCTTTGTGATTGGATTTGTTCCAACTCTTGCATCCCAAAGTATCAAGCAAGAATCATCTCCAACACTACAGAATTCCTGTGTACTTTACAAACATACAGAAAGTTGAACACAAAATCAAATTTATTGTATAAAAGTTGTGAAATTTGTAGGTATTTTATAAAAGTTACCTTGTGGGACAAAACTGGACATCTTCAACTGTATCTGTATGCCCTTCAAAGATCCCACGAGGGCCAAGAGAAGCATTATCAGAAGTTTTCACAATTGACCCTGAAGAATTGGTTGTGTTTGATTCTCCAACCAATGTTGATATATGATCATGAATACTCCATAAAACAACTAGTTTATCCTTTCCTGTAAAAAAATAAAAAAATAAAAGTTGGATTTTTTAAGTGGTTATAAATTTATATTAGTTGTTTAAAGCATTATGATATGATAATTGACCTCCAGAGAGTACATAAGGTTCAGTTGGACACATTGAAAGAGCAAATTCTGCATTATCAGCATGCCCTGTAAGCACCTGAAAGAAATTTAAAAAGAAAATAAAGAATAAATAAATAATATTCATTTGATTCAACTAATATAAATTAGGAAATAATACTAATTTGGAACAGACCAAATCAGCATGAGATACAGCAGCTCCAAGAAGAGCATGACGATTAGGTTGTGCTTCAATATCCCAAATGAGGACCTGAATTGGATAAACATGAGGGTATTTTAGGAATTTCACATGAAACTTTGTAACTGTCATAAAAGTGTATGCAAGGATGATTGTAACCTCTGGGCAGTCTGTATGTGTAGCAACAATGTTCTTGTTTTGTGGAAGTTCCCGAATTCTGTTCACCTGTAAAAATGGTTATATAGATGAGGGAAAAGACATGTTTTGACAGAATTAAATGATTGATTCAGCTTGTGTATATGATTTTTACCTCTCCAGGATGAATGATGGTTTTGTACTTTTTTACAAATGGAGAGCGAGTTTCTTCATTGAACTAAAAGAAGAAATCACATAACCATTAGTAGGTTAAAGAAACTAAAAAGAAATAGGAAGAAGAAGATGATAAAATTGAGTAAAAAAAACTTTTCTTTTTACCTGAGATATGTGTTCTGCTGCAGCAACTTTTGGCTTCACTACATCGCATGTTGCTATTACTAGTGTGTTTGGAACACTGCCATCAGTCTAAACAAGAAGCACCATTAATGGCGGGATGAAAATAAAAATCAAAAAAAGGAGAAAGAAGACTGCTAATCTAACCTGTTCCGAAAGATACAACCTCTGCCTACTCTTGTTCTTCGATTGTTCCAGCAGTGGACCCCATCTATTCACATAAAAAGAATAATTGGTGCACAAAATGATACAAGCAACAATCAAAACCTACATAAATTTCGATGTTTTCTGTAGCCTTTTTGCAAGGTAGTAAAGCTTATATGAACTATCGATGCACAAAATGATCCAGTGGACCATGGAAGTGCTCGAAAAAACTGAAAAAGCAGTAGACATTCTAGGGTTTTTTTTGTACCATTTTAAAAATCAAGTCGAATCATGGGGCATTGGGATCTAATCGATCGTAAGTTTGAAAAAATTCATACCGGCAAGAGAGAGAAGGCCAAACGAGGTTGTGATTAGCAAGCCAGTCGTACAGAATGGGGACTACAAACTTCCAGTTATTGTACTTATCGTCGACAACGGCGGCCTTTTTGTTTCCGGCAGCTGTAGCTCTGTCTCTCATCTTAGGACTTGAAATTTCTCTGTCTTCAGCGGTGACCTTCTTGGAGCCCTTCGGCCTTCCTCTCTTTTTAGGTTGCGACAATGGCGACGAAGCTTCTTCCATTGAATTATTGGTTCTTTGTGGAAGTTTAAAACCCTTGGGGTTTTCTCTCTCTAAAACCCTATTTCTCTCTCTAAAAAGCTTTGAGAGGTAAGGGACCTACCAACCAGGGTAGAGAAACTCAGTCCGAGTTGGACCAGTGCACAGTAATATATAGTAACATATACAGTAAACTGCAAAAATGTTTTTTTGTTGTGTTATGTATTTTTCTTTATTATCTAAAAAGGATTATATTATAAAAAAGTTTTTTATTTTTTATGACAGATTTTTATTTGGTTTTTGGTATCAAACTTTAACGAGGAGAATTATATTATGTTAATCTTTATAAAATAACCTTCTTTTATATTTTAATTAATATCATTATTATAAAAAATTGCAAAAATGTGAATGTGGTTTGTCGTCTTCTTTGGTTAAGATCCGAACAAACATTAAAAAAGTTATGAATTTAATATTTTTGCCTAATTTAGTTGCGGATTAGATTTTGTCAAAACTTAAAAATGACAAACTCAAAAGACTACTATATCTTTTATGTATTTAATTTTTATTTCTTTTTTCTTTTAATATTCTATTATTATAATAATATTATTAGATATAATTACATAAATGGCATGTCATTAAAACTAGAGGTGTGCGCGGTGCGGTTTGGTGCGGTTTAGAGTCAAAACCGCAAACCGCACCGCATATGCGGTTTGAATATTTTAGAAACCGCAAGCCGCACCACAGATGTTCAAAACCGCGTTATGCGGTGCGGTTTGATGCGGGCGGTTTATGCGGTTTGGTTGCGGTTTGTGCGGTTTGATAAGTTGTTCAACATTAAATCTATCAAAAAACCAAAATACTGACCAGGTTAAAAAAAAAATTGATTGCTTTCATTTTATAAAAACAAATACAATTTTCAAGTTAAATCGTTTTTAATAAATTATGATTCATGCTACTATAGTTTTGTAAGTATCATTGTTATTGCTTTATATTGTTATTATAGTTGTTATATTCTTGTAAACCATGGGATCTTGATCTAATAGTGTTTTAATGTTACGTTATAGATATTTGGTTATTTTAAGAAATATATTTATATACATCGTTTTTAAATCGCGATTTGAAGTTATAACAAAGTAAAGAAAAAAAGTATATATAACATGCGGTGCGGTGCGGTTTGAACCGCGGTTTTATAAATACAAACCGCAAACCACACCGCATAGTGCGGTTTGATAAAATGATGAACCGCAAATCGCACCACGAAATTCTAAACCGCATTATGCGGTGCGATGCGGGCGGTTTGTGCGGTTTGTGCGGCACCCCTAATTAAAACTAGGGTTTTTGGTACTGTAGCACAACAAAATCTGACGAATTTACATATTTAGTAACTCGAGTATTTTTTTTATGCTCAATTGTTCCTTAAAATTAGTTTTACCTATTAAATAGGAATCGACCCTCATATTTATCGGTTTATAGATTACCTTGCTCTGATACCGATGACATTGGGACAATAGGCCACGCTATGATAATGTGGAGACAATCAGCCATCTTGGCATTCAATTTTTTTTTATATTCCATTAAAAAAAATACTTTTCAATTTTGATTAATAAAATCAAAACTACTTGTACCCACTTTCTAGAAAACCATAAACCACCAACTAAAACTATTTGTTCAAAAAAAAGTCATCATCCTATCTTCCTCCTCTGTATATATCTTCCATAACCAAGTTATCTAATCTCTTAGAATCACCATCGTCGGATCTTCCATTCAACTTCTCGAAGCCACTCCCAAACGTCATCGCTTCATGTTGTCTCTGTTAGTGTCACTTCCTCCCCCCTCTCAGCAAACAGCGACGTGTTCTCCGTCGTCATCTTCAGTTTCGACGGTGAAAGTTTAAACGTCGGTATCATCACAATTTCTCCGCCTTTCTTCTACCCCTTCTATGTCGCCGGAAAACTCCGGAGCCGTCGGAGCTGCTATATTCATCTCCTTTGTAGACGAAGTACACGAAATGCATCATCTAGGGCTTAGATTTAGGCACAGTCAAATGAATTTTTCTAAGGGTTTGTATACATCTCCATTGAATTTTGCCTATGATGTGAGACTGGTCTTCGAGAATGTGATGCTTTATAACCCTATAACAAATGAAGTTCATAAAATGGCAGATCAACGTCTTGTTATTTTGAAGTGTTGATTAGACCAATACAAGCAAAATTGCCCTCGCCACGGACTCAATCTCCGACATGAGAATTCTGACCGTGACAACAAAAATGGCAAGCTTTACACCATTTATGTTTTGGAGTTCTCAACCTAATGATTTAAAAATGTGAAACGGATAAAACTGGATGCTTCGAAAGCTACTAGCATGAAATAGGAGAAAGGATCATTGAAGATCTTAAGTCAATGTTAATTAAAGTCTTTCTTGTTGATTGATACGGTGACCCTTAAAAGATATAAAGAAATCTAATTTAAAATGTCACATCGTACAAGTAACCGTCTCTACCTGTAGGTCAAATAATTGTGTAATTGATAGGTAAAATTTAACTTTAATGGTCTATTGAGCATAAAAAAATACTTGAGAGACTAAATATGTAAATTCACCAAACTTTTGTTATGCTACGGTGCAAAAAAAACCCTTAAAACTAATCATAGAGTCGTTAAGTGCCTGGAAAATGACCTTTTTATCCTTTTCTTTCTATATTACAAGGAACATTTATGTAATCATAGCCTAATTAATATCATTTATCTTTCTGAAATGCACATATTCATCCGCCACTACCACTACCACCCCCATCTATCATCACCACCCTATGACATCATAAAATATGTCACCAATCGCTCCAAACTCCTACTTTTAAATAACAAAAATCATCAAAAAAATCGGTTAAACCCAAATTTCTTAAATTGTTAAAGTAAAAATGAACACAAACCCAAAATCATATTGAAATTTTTTAAACCATATTAAATAAACACAAACTTAAAATCATATTTAAAATTTTAAACCATAAACAAACACAGACATGAAATCATATTCCAATAAAAAATAGTACATTATCCAAACAAAATAGGTCTAAGAGATAATCTACCCATTTTTTCATATACCCAAACACCATCATCTTACTCCAAATGGTCCTGATGAACCCTTAATTGATTCAAAGGAAACAAATTCTCTTCATTTGAATGCTAAACATAGTCCAAATAATTCAACCCTTTTTTCTTGATAATCTTGCCCACCCACTATATCCCGATGGTTGGCATTAATAATATTGAACTTTGAAAAATCGATTACTAGAATATGAGGAGGAGCTGGAGAGATTTTATCGACGAAGACAATCTCTCTAAGGGCCCTAAAACCATCTTTGGTGACAAGGGTATGGATTGGACAACGAACTCTTTGTTGGATAAAGATGAGATGATGTTTGATATGTAGTAAGCTTCTTCAAAACATGGTTTTGTGGGGGAAATTTTTACCATATCGCCTCTCTGAAACTTCATTCTAGGTCAAAGGATATATAGGTTTTCAAACGGAAGTGTGTGGTGGGGTTTCCAATGTCGATGATTCAGACATTGGTGGTATGTGGTAGAGAAGTAATGGTGGATAGGATTTTCTAATAGGGTAGTGTAACATTCATAAAATTCGAGCCAATTTAAAACTTTTTAAATCATTTAAAACCATTCATGTCATTACAATTTGTTTTCAAAATAGTTTAAACATCAGAGTTCCCAGAAATCATAATCATCAATCGAGGAAGTGTACGATCACGCCTTCGCCTTCCCGCGACCATCCGCTGAACCTGAAACAATAAACTGAAACTGTAAGCCCGAAAGCTTAGTGAGTTATCCCCAAAATACCAACGTCATACCGATATAACCATAACAACATATAAGTAAACAGAACAGCCATGCATCTCGAGTCTACAATGTGACTGGTCCGCCCGCACCGGGCCTTCAGTCCACCTGGTCCACTCTCTGAGTCTACAGTATGCATAATGAGCCTTCAGCATGATTGGACCGCCTCGCAGGGCCTACAGCCTATCTGGATCGCTCCTGAGCCTTCGGCATGACTGGACCGCCTCGCAGGGCCTTTAGCCTATCCGGACCGCTCGCCGGGTATGTTGGCCTACAACACAAAGCAGGACCGCCTCAACCCAACTCCCAACCAAACAAACATGTGCACATAAATATCATACGCTAACTCATATCATATAACAGTCAAACTAATCTAACAGATCACTAATCATAGCAACATCCTGCACAAATATCATACGCTAGCTCATATCATATAACAGTCAAACTGATATAACAGATCAATATTCATAGCAACATCTTAATAACCGGGATACAGACCTAACCGGTCACTAACATAGCCTCATTCTATAACCAGGACACCGACCTAACCAGGTCACTAAGCATAAGCATATCACCATCCTAACTACCAGGATGTAAATCAATAAAAGCATATCATGCAATAAACCCGGATACAAATCCGATAAGGGTCAGCATTGGTGCCTTAGACCCTGTTGATATAGTGAGAATAACTCACCTCGCACTGCCGATCTGAACCGAAGAATCGAACTCCTGAATCACTGCCTCACCAAAATCCCGAACAACTGATCTCTCGACTCCCAAAGCTATCAATACCAAAATATCACTTAGTTCAAACAATAATCCTCCTTATAGTAAAATGACCATTTTACCCCTAGTCCAACTTGGTCCATATATAAGGCTCAAAATCATAATATAAAAAGCCCAACATTGGATGGTCTTCCCAAACCCACTAGTGGCCCACTAATGGCCCAATTTGCTAAATTGGGCCCAATCCCTCTTATGGGCCTTACCCTAAGCCCAAACATCTTCTTGGCCTACAACATCTGACTCCTGATGGCCTACCAAGGCCCAAGGACCAAAATCCCCCTGCATGGCCCAAACTGAGGCCCAAAATCCATAAGGCCCATAACTGATGAGTACGTTGGGCGTACTCCTATGTACGCTAAGCATACTAGCCAAATGGTGCGTACGCTGGGCGTACCTGCTTGTACGCTCAGCGTACTCCCCTGATAAGTCATT